CACGTTCGATCCTTCAGGGATGTTGCTCAATGTCTCCAATTTTGTTCTGGTGGCTGACGTGGAGATGTCGTTTGTAGTTTCGTCCTCCAGTTTCTGTTCAACTTGAACTGTGGTCTATCGGCAACTTCTTTGAAGACTTTCAACTTGATTTTGAAGGTTCCTTGCACTAGATATTGAGTGGTGTGAACCTACATCTGCTCCCCTTCTTGATCTGATATTGTGTCCAGTAGGCTGGCTGCGTCTCCACTTTCTTCACATTGAGATGAAGTCAATCTGATTTTTAGTGTCTATCTGATGAAATTAAATCCATGTCGCTTTGTGAATGTCCTTGTGTTTGTACACACTGCCTCCAATCACCGAGTCGTTGAATGCGCAGAAGTCTGCAAACAGTTCTCGTTTTTCATTCATTTCACAAACGAGTACTTCTCGACTCATGATTGGTTCTCTTCCTGTGCTGTCTGCTCCCAGTTTAGCATTCATGTCACCCCACCCATTAGAATTTTGATGTTGCCAACTCGGATAGGGTTCTTGTCCAGTACTGATTGCAGTTGTCTATAGAATTCCTCCTTCTTCTCTTGGTCCGCGTCTGCATTATTTGTTGTTGCGTAGCCCAGTATTGTATGATTGTGACTTTCCTTCCTTTTGAGTTGAACCTTGATGTCATGATCCTGAAGGAGGAGATTGGTTCCCACTGCATGACAGACTTCGATGCTTCTGAAGGTGACATCATGATAGCCACTCGAATACTCGGTGTGCTTGTAATTGTCGTCTGGATGAAAATATCGGAATAGATTATTGACTCTCCAGTTGACGGTTGGGAGAGTCTACTTCCATTCCATCTGATTTCGCAGATTCCTGGCACTTCTATGCCATACCTCCTCATCTCTTTTGCAATCTGGGCAGTCTTAGTAGGCTCGTGCATGGTGCGGACATTCTATGTCCCCATGTTTACATTCGCTTTCATCGAGAGAAGAGAAGACACTTCGGCCGATTGGCTTCCTGAAGGCTTTCACCAAATGGCGTGATTTCTTCTCTCCGATTCCAACGAGGAATAAGTTTGTTTTTGTTTTTTATAATTTCTTTGTGCTTTGAAGTTTCTTTAGCGGTAAGATTGGTATTTTGGGGTAGGGTTGCTAGCCCTATGCCCAACCTTCCCTTTTTACCCGGGCTTAGGACCGGCTGGTAACTAGTGAACTAGTTACCTAGGCGAGGTTTAACCACTGAAATAACCAATCAAATTTCTATATTTCGACAGAAAGGTAGTTTCTTCATAGAATAAATAAACTTGATCGGTCACAATCACTCATGTATAATCCTAGTTAAGGCACTGTGTGTTTAAATAAGGAATCACTGAAAACATTGATAGTCAGTAAAAAAGAATCCAGTCATACATGGTAGACTTGTTCATTTGAAATGCAACACGGAGCAATGCATTGGTGTATACTGAATCGTGGTGCTGATACAGTTATTGTCAGATGTTTACAAGAGTTAATATTTTTGTCCACTACTGATTCAGTGAGAAAGTTTAGAGGTACACTACTAGTTCTGCTGACAATCTTCAAGGTTCTACGCAGTGTAGCATAGTCTTTTTTCGCCAACTCGGGAAAGAATAAAGGGGAACTATAGAGGAGAACAGGCAAGATGCAGGAGTTTATAAAACATGAGAGAAGGGGTTGAATTATACCAGATACTCTCAGCTTCCTAAGATAGAAATGCGGAAAATTCTTTCGGAAATTAGTAAGATATGTATGGTACAACGAGGAAAGGTCCGAAAAGAATCTTGGTGTTCAAATAAATAACAAATGACCTGGTGTAAAGATTATAACTTTATCTCGGTATATGTCTCTTAATGCATGACTGCCTAATCTCCTCAGAAATGCAATGATTCACACCTATTTTTTATCAGTTATTATTAATACTTTCTCAGTGTTCAAACCTCATTTTTTGACGTCGGATTGGAAACCATTGGCAATTTTTCTAAGAGTTGGTATTCATCATGAACTAACGTCAGTTGGAGTAGTATTGGTAACCTGTCACCACTGGACTGCTCTTTCGTCGTAGTGGCGTGCTGGCCACGGAACCTGAAGTTCGCGGGTTCGGTCCCTCACTTGGTCATTGTTGCTCGCTGCTAAAGAGTTGCATACTAGGACGAGAAAGCTAGACGGTTCTCCTAGGTTTCCAGCGTTTCTCCAACTGATATCAGGCCATGATGAATACCAGCTTGAAAAATCTTATGGTGTGCAAGTTTTGTCAATGTTTACTTTGCTATCATAACTTATGAGACATACTCTCTTTAACTATCCAGTTTGTTTGTGCTATCGAACTCAACATCCTGTAAACCTTTGATGGAAATTGTATTGATTCAGTCTACGTAAATGATTACATTCTTTCCTTGAAGAGATTTAATGAACCAGTGAGTATTAAAGACTTTGAATGACTGATCACTTCAATGGATTTATACAAACTTCATTACTTTATATAAAGAGTTTATTCCACTCAACAACAGTCTAAACACTCCTATTTCATCGATGCGAAACATGGTGATTTATATTTCATTTGTAAAGCTAACAACTAAGATACGAAACACCACCAATCACATACTTATGCCTGCACTACACAGTGAACCACACTTATTATCTCAGAGTTAATGGTACCATCTAATTGCCCAAACTTCGCTAGGTGGAGCGGTATTCAAACCTGTAACCAACTGTCAAACCAGTGAGTTGAAACCTCACCACTTTAAACTGTCTCAGATGCATAGTCACTGATATCAACTGCTTTTCAAAAAGCCAAAACAAGGAGAGCTTAAGTTTCTTTGGATTTTCACATGGAATTCCTCAAATCGCCTTAAAGTGTATTGAGTCGATCACCATGTCTGTGTGTATGTGTGTACAATTAAATTCCTGTTACTTTTCTTCTCTGACTAACTTATCACATCGATTGATGACTAGTTTTCTCTTTGCAACAATTCTATAAAACCTTTGGATTGTCTATAAAACTTTGAAATTTGGCTAAGCGTTGAATTCTATCTGGAAGTTTGTGGAGGTTTATGAATTGATTTTAGTTTGGAATTCATCATGGACTGACATCAGTTGGAGGAACATTGGGGACCTGGGAACACTGGACATCTGTTCCATCCTAATATGGGACTCCCCAGTAGTGGGAACCAATGACCCCTCTAGGTATCGAACCTAGGACTTACAAGAAGAGTCTTATACTAGGATGAAACATCTTTCCAGTGCTTCCAGGTTCCCAATGTTCTTCCAAGTGATGTCAGTTCATGATGAACTCCAACCCAAAATCAATAAGCGTTGAATTGTTTGGCTTCGTTTATACTGTAATTGGTTCCACGATGTAGCGCAAGTAGATGTTGTTATGTCTCCGCTTATTAGTAACTGATTGAATCACAATAATATTTCTAGGTGATTCACTTCTAACGCCGACCTTTCCACGTGTGAATAATCTCGCACATACTTCCCACATTTTGTATGTCCACTATTCATCCAATTTCTCCTCCCACTCCCTACTCCTCTAACGTTGTGCACGAGAATACAAAGTTTTGTGCTCTATTGTCCGTATATTTTTGGCAGTTGAAGTCATCTGTCCACAATGCGCCATAATTCTTGAAAATGAAACAATCGATTTTACGCAGAGGAAGTGATGTAATTATTTCAAAAGTATAAGCCATACAGAAGTAAGTGAGGCATCAATCAAAAGCTCTTCAGCCGAGATATAGACTACTACTGTCATATAAGTCATCAGCAAATACCTTTTAAGATAAATAAACTAATTCGGTTGATAATATTTATATGAGATTTATGCTTTCCAAATTTTCTGCCGATATAACAAATGTTTGTAAGCCCTTGAGTCACTTCAATTCATCTGGTTATATCATCGATTTGTAGAATATTGATGATTGTTACAGAGTCACTGATATGTTTGGATTTACCTATCGCTTAGCGCTGTTATTGTGACTATTTTTTCAGAAGAATGAGGGTTACTTAACTTTTTCTTGTCAAATCAATAACTTTTGTCCATCTTTTAGTTTACAAAAATAATCTATGCCTCTAAAAGAAGAAGCATCACTAGTTAAATAATGTCAGTAATAATAACTTTTTGTTTCAGGTTTTGCTTCAGTTTTGATCAATCACTTATTTACACTTTAGTAGTTTATATATTCCTGTTATGCCATGCAGTACATATTTTACATTGTATGCTCGTGGAGTACTCGGGTACATCCATGTAAAACGTACTCCCCACTGTGATGACCCTGTTTTCTCCTTTACACTTCATAACTCAATCCAAACTACTAAAATTATATTTCGATAAGAAAACGAATCAACCAATTTTTTTAATTTTAATCTGTAATCTTTACTTTCAGCATTTCTCCTTGTTATCCTTTTGTTCCCCACTATTCACTGTTTATTGCACTAATATTACTGTCTATGCATTCCTGTTGATAATATTCATGCACACACACAAACACATACACATATTTGTGTTTCTATCAATCATCTGATGAAGTATTCCCACCTAGATAGTGGACAGATATAGCTATTTCATTCAAGTCGTACAAGTTGTTCACAGTGAGAATACCTACAAACTTAGAATTGTGTAGCTTCCCTGGTAGCAGATTACCACTTGACTGGTGATTCCGAATTTAATGCTGAACATTTTCCATCTGTATGCCATTCCTGATAGATAGATAGACAGACAGACAGACAGACAAATAGTGCAATCCCATCAGTTGATTATATTGGCGACTATATACGAACTCATTCAACACATTTGCTTCATCTTTTGAGTGTCTATTCGTTGAAAAGGAAACAAATCAGAAGAAAACTGCAATAATCACTTGTTTCATTTACACTGGTCATTCACAGTTTCATCTTATGGCTTACCTGTATAGCTGACTTTCATTTTATGATGAAAGTTATCATCAGACTGACGACTTTCCAAATACATTATCTGTACGTTTGTCCTTTTTGTTCTCCCTAAAGGATAGTAGAAAGACTACCGTCAGTAATGGTCCTCAGTCCACAGTGAGTCAACCTACTCAACCAGTTGCTTCTGAGCCTGGTGTAGCCGTCGTTGAACAACTTCATGCTGGTGGTGATAAGTTAGCCAGTCTTTGTTTAGCCGCTATCGGAAATGCCACTCCACGCAGTCAACAATATATAACAGATGGATCTACTAAACCTAGCAGTCTTGGTGATTCTGTACACAAGTCAAAATCGGATCTTGTTCGCAGTCCTGGTAGTCGTTTGGAATTGACAGCTGTAGAGTCTGGTGGTGGGGGGTGCGGTGATGATCATGGTGGTCATGCCAGTGATCCTGCACTAAATCGTACTGGGCGGTATGTGTTTTCTTTAGTTTTATAGTAGTTATGACATTAAAATTATATGAATTCTTTAAGAAGTTTAGCTGAATACTGGTCAGAATCAGGTGTGTATGATTTTCACGCACCTCGTTGAGTCCTCTTGACTATCTACTAATATTGCATTTTTCCCAGTACACTAAGCTTAATCCTAATAACGGGGAATATTGTTAGTTTTTGGTTGACTTTGTGATTGAAAAATTCACCTCAACTCACCGACTTAGTCTGCTCGTTTCGCCCCTTATATTCTATTAACAGCCGACTGCTGATAGAAAACTGAATAAGTACTCAAATAGTACTTGGGTATTTCACGTACCAACTTAGCCGGGAAACCGTATTCATCGATGTGAAGTAAATGTTAATCACGTTGTCTAGCCTGATGATGAAAACGTCTAAGGACAAGCCTCAAAGTTCGGAGTACACCAGGCAATTATCATCATTATCGTAGGTTGCAAATCTTCTTGAATATTCATTTCGCTTAGATAGCTTTCTTTCGATATTGTGTTACCCAATAAAATTAGCTAAGAATTATCAAAGTTTGAAAGCAAGGACTTAGAGGTTTTTTTATGGGACGGGCTCACCCTAAACGTAACAGCATGATAATAGTAGAGGGCAAAATGGTGGGGAGAGACAAAGTGGTGGAATAATTCAGCAACATAGTATACTTTTTACTGTTTTTTGATATGCTTGTAATTCTCCCTTGTTTTACTGGATCGAATTGTTTGACCTCTATTGGCATATGGGGTTCTATGCGGATGCCCTCAATAGCTATATGAAGACGCCACATGTCAAGTGATCTGCAATGGAAATCTCAGTGACGCCTCTGCAGTGAAGACAGGAGTAGGACAAGGCTGCCTACTATCACTGATGATCTTCCTGATTGTGGTTCACTCGTCTGAACTGGGTCATGTAAGAAACTGTGAGAAGCTCTCATACACTGTTTGACGGATAAAAAGACCACTGTAGCTTTGGAAGATCTGCAGGCTAAAACTAACAAGTTGACAGAAGAGGTAAAGCAGAGAAGACGGGATTCAGGTGAACGTAGAGAAGACAGAGGTGATGAAGATGCCCAACTAGCAACATCAACGCCAAGCGCCGATCACCATGAACGGGGCAAACCTAAAGGAAGTTGTCTCTTCCACCTACCTTCCTAGGCAGGATAGTTTCAACTACAGGCGGCACAGACGAGGATGTCAAAGCCACGGTCAGAAAGACAGCAAGATAGATCTTCAATAACCTGAAATCACTGTGGAGATCTACTGCACTCAACGTGTGGAACAAGATTGGGATTTCCAACACTAAGTCAGTCAAGTCACTGCTTCTATATGGTTGAGAGACTTAGCGCGCTACTAAAAGCGTTTTCAACAGACTACAGACATACATGAACAGCTGCCACCTACGCTGACTCGATACTGAATATCACATCAGATAACCAGAATAATTGGAATAAGCAACAAGGAACTCTGGCTGTCTGGCAACGAACCAACCAAGAACCGATCACCCAACAAATATGAAGAAGAAGAAGAAAGTGGAGATGGATTTGACATACACTGAAAAGGCCGACTGGGGACATCACGCGCCAGGCCAGGCCCTCGAGTGGAATCCAAAGGGGAAACGGCAAATTGGGCGTCCCAGCTGAGAGTGATATGAAGGAGATGGTATGAGGAAGAAATGAAAGCTTGTGGGCAGTGGCGGAGTGAGGTTCAAAAGACTGCAGAGAACAGAGTGCAATGGAGGTGTGCTAATGAAGCCCTATGTTCCACTAGGAACCCAAGGGAAAAATGATAATAATAATGATATGCGGATGCCTAGCAGAAGTCCAAAAGTTTTAACCATTAGGACAACGGAGACTTACAAGGGTGTCATAAAAAGTTAATAACTAACACCCTCGTTTTACAAAGGTGACTATTGTATCCCAGTTGCCTTCTGGGTAATTCCCTGGTATTTGAGGCGATGTGTACGAGGTTTGAGTCTCGGTGATAACAACATCACGCAGGTTTATCCGGCTGACCAATACCAAATACGACAAAACGTGCATCTTTGATTCTTCTGCTAGCCACAGCCACGTCAATTATCGTAGTACACTTTTATTTACTGGGCTACGAACCACACCTAATGATTTTGGAGCTTTGAATAATTGCCAACTGAAAGTCGAAGTAGGTGGAACAGAGCTTGAACCCGAAGCTAACTGGTTGACAGGTTGTTTATCTTAACTGATGAGTCACAATCGTATAGAAAGAGAAAGAAACTGTGATCAATCAACAAGAGTACATTAAATTAACATAGTTAAGGATAAATACTCACGAAATTTCCTGATACTTTTTGTTTTCCAGTTACTTTTGTTAAAACTGTTATTTCTGTTTAAGACGCAGGAAGATGAATAAAGTTAACAACATGACCATTGGTTGTTATTATACTCAAAGATACATATTCCGCTTATGATATCTGTATATTTAATCAGATTGTACACTATCACCTTAATCTGAAAGATTTAGAGTGATGCAAAAACTGGTCAGTATATTATAACAATTCGTCGGTTGGAATACTTCGTTGATGAACTACTCAATCCTTATAAGTGGTCCAGCCAGACCAGAACTTTAATCAGCAGTCAGCTACTCAGAGTAATGTAATCAAAGAGTGGTTTTCAATGTGATTGCTGTTCAGATTTATGATTTAAGGATAGTAGTTGTGGATCATTGGTCAGTTTAACTGACATGTTAGCAAGTATATTATAATCAGATATGACCCCCTCTGACTGGTCTCAATCAATAGCTGTCTTAGTCTTCTAGTAAGGAAGGAAATCCTCCTATGTTAACTAGAGGAGAATCAGTTTGACGATCTCTTAATGGAACTCGAGAACAGCAAACTGTAGATAACGAGGCAGGTTTCAAACCTGTTCGTGTTTGCATCGGTCAAATATTCTCCCTTTTCCAGGTTCTGGAACACAGGTAGACTTTCTGACGCCCAACACCAGGTATATTTCTCAATCTAAAGGTGACATTTGACTCCGTTGATCCCTTATCTAACAGTAGGGAGTGAAGTGGTTAGACATGATGACCACTTTGAAAGTTAAATCAACCCTGTTGCGCTGAGCCTTGTCGCAGATATAAGGTTATTTAAAATGGGAAAGTGAATTATTGAATATATTTCTTTATTTTTCTATTTTAAAGCTTATTCTGTTCCATGCTTCACAACTGATCGGTTAATGGTAATACGATGTTTGCATTGTTCTATCCATTCTTTCTTCTACAGAATTTTCGGTGGTCTTATTCAAGATATTAAACGTCGTGCACCGCATTATATGAGTGATTTCACTGATGCTGTGCATGTACAATGTTGTGCAAGCTTTATTTTCTTATACTTTGCTTGTTTAACACCGATTATCACATTTGGCGGTTTATTGGCTCAAGCAACTGGTGGATATTTAGTAAGTTTAAATACTACTGATATTCACATTGAATGTTTCATTGTAATTAATCATTAATACATCTTCTCATGTAATTTGCTTGATATCCAGGATGCGCGTTTCGCCCTACCTAGGACTCGTCAGCTGGGTCTACCTGTATTCTAGTGAGTGATAGTGTTCCCACTAAAACATGAAGTGCTGGGTCCTAGGTTTGAGTTCCAGTAGGAACATGAATAGCATGCTACAGTTGACTGATTATTAATCGCCAATATGGTTTTTCGAACACATGTGGGCGTTTTAGAGCGTATGGTGAGATATTGGGTGAGTTGTGTACGTCGAATAGTGTCCGTCAAGTTTTCCCACTGTTTCCATTCTTATCCAATTTTATCATAGATGTTCTTATGGACGTCTCACTCTCGTCATCTGATTAAGCAGGGGTCGACTTAATCACAGGAGAATTTTCGTTGGACCTAGAACACGCAGATGACATACTCCTGTTTGGTGAAGACTTTGACAAGATGCGGAGTCTTCTGGACACCTCGAGTGGCAATTTGAGAATGCTTGGGATGGGCTTCTCGCCATCCGAGTCTAAATTGCTGCCCCAGGACTGGTCTTCAGCGGTGCCTAGGTTAACAATAGAGAGTGAAGTCGTTGGGCGTATTGAACACTTCACTTACCCGTGCAGTCGGATCAGCCCTGGTGCGGCGGTCAGTGGACGACAAAACCTCTGCACGAATACAAAAGGCTAGACTGGCTTTTGCCAACTTACCCCACCTGTGGCGCCGTCTGTTAAAGGTTGAGTATGCTGTGTTGCAGTCCGCTCTGTTCTACTCTATGACCGTGAAACATAGGCATTAAAAGTAGAAGAAATCAGAAAGTTTCGGGTGTTTGACCACCCTTGCCTTTGTAGCATAGGCCGTGTTTCGTGGTGTCAGCACGTGAGTAAGGCAGAATTCAGGTGCAGAGTTTTAAGCAGAAGAGATAAGTCAGTTGATGCGGTTGTGAACCTTGATTGACTGAAATGCTTGGCTGGGACATGTGTTACGTATACCTAGCTACCATCTGCCTCGTCACATAATGTTGGCCAAAGTAGTTTCAGGCCGGGAAAAGGCTCGGGGTGATCAGACTAAAACATGGTATCTATGCCTGAAGTCGTTGACCGTTGTTTGAACCATGTAGAGCGGTGCAGATTAGCTGGTTGGGATCCACAAGACAAGAGAAACCAGTTCTTGGAGACTCTATATGATATTATTCAGAAGCTATGTGATAATCCTCATCTTAACCGCTGTACTTAATCCCATCATTTTCTCACTCTTTCTGTTTCACTACTTTTTACTCCTTTTAACCGATTTTTATTCCCTTCTTCATCTTTCATTTCATTACTTTGTTACCTGATGTGGCAGTATGAGTTGAGGTGTAGTAATTTGGACCGTTACGCAGTAATGCCTGGTCCTATGTTTATTCTGATGATGATCGATCTGTTTATTGATATTAAAACGTATGTATCGAGTGTGTAGTACTAATAAGGGGACTTGTTTGACATTTTTTCACACCATTTGTTTTTATTACTACGAAAAAGTTAAACGAAGTTGATTGAGAAATCTGTTGTATTTCATCTATTTGAAAGAATATTCGTTCAACACATTTGGAGCCTTCTATAATATTGTCCAGACTTGATCATTCGACTTGAATGAACACTTGTGCAGTAATACTTTTATTTGTCTACTATCCACTAACGAACATGTGTGCATAATTAATTTCCAGATGGAGCAGTCATTGTTTGAACAGCTTATTGGGAAAGTCATGGGCTTGAGAAGGAGATGACACTGCTTCCAATTCTCCAAAGCAACATTGTTGTGGTTAACATCTCACACATCCCTTGTTCCTTAGTGTCAAGAGCCATTAAACCAGACCTTCTTTCCAGGTGATTCCTAACAAGTGGAATCGAAATTCAGTCCATTTTATTTAGCTTATTGGCCTCATTTCAAACTTCATCAAATAGAGTTCGATCACTACTCAGCGCATAGTTTCTGAAAGCTACATTGAATAACATGCAGTGATGAATAATTTCGTATAAACTAATCCTAAATACAGTCATCCACAATCTGTATAACTTATTGGTTAAGTTTTTGGCTTCAGAACCTGAAGGATGGGTGTTTAAATCTCATTCAAATAGGGTACATGAGTTGCTGTAAGGTCACTGATGTACACCCGCCTTGTTGAAAAATTACCAACATGTATGAAGCCTTAGTTTAAGCAGAGCTGCCTACCTATTGACTTCAAAACCCCTAGTTGGATAGTGTTGTTCAATGTTTAGATAGCTGTGGTCTCAAAAATTATGGAACAGCGGACTACGAATTAGTATGGTCAGTGCATACTTACTCAGTAACTTGGAAGTATGTTAAACTACGTAATCTATGTGCTGGCATATGTCTAAAAAATACAGATGGTCGCAGGTTATAGAGAGGAAACCTTGGACACCTAGTTTGCGTCAGTTGTTGGGACTTGTTAGCAAGGCAAATTCGCAAACTCGAGGCAAGTGATGTCTCCTCAGAAATTGTAACATGTTTCACATCGTACTTCTTTCAGAGATGGAAAAGAACTTGTACCACCATGGAATTTGAGTGATGGTACATCACTTCAAGATGCAATGTCTTTAGCATTCTCTTAGATTTGATATTTTGTCAGTGCCTTTGGCTTGTCAGGTTTAGGCTTCACTAAAAACTTGAATGAGGTATTGTTGCTAAGAATATAACATATTCTAGCCACAGACTTTCACAATTAAGTACAGGTGGTTGGATGTGTGAAAAAATATATTTTAAGCTGCATTCATCTACTTTGAGACACTCTAAAGAAATGGGAACCGTCTAAAAGAATAAAACCGGCAGCAGACATATGAAGAAAGTCGTGAGGATGACGTAGAATATCTCAGTGTTAAAACACATATCCATTACTTTGGACCGACAGTGAATCGTAAGTAGTATTATTTTCTATAATGTTAAACCTCTTGACTCACTTTCGAAAACCTGTCAGTTTCTGTCATGACTTGAATTAACCGTCTGTAAGCAATTTTCTTGAGGCTTAAATCAGACAACTTAGCATATTCACGTAGTCAGTTTACATAGTATCCTTAGCATCTGTTTTCATCTACTCTTTCAATCGATAGTGTGCTCATAAAACTTATCGTTCATTGGAAAGCATAGTAATTTCATGTCGAGAAAGTAGTACTGTAGTGGCCACTACTGGTCAGAATGGATCTAAGTAGTATATTCTGAGGGTGGCAGAAATCATAGGCAATTAACAGCAATGAGTAAAGATTCTGCCCAGAGAAACTCAAGAGACAATGTGGGCGTATTAAGAGTAAATCAAGATAGAAGCAGAAAAGGAAACGATGCACATTGTGGAAAGTGTTCAATATTTGATGACTACTGTGCAATATGTCAATAATAACCATTCCTTCCTGCTTTTAAGTCTTGTTTCCTACAGTACTAGGCTTCAGTAATATCAACGAAAATTTAAAAATCACATTACTATTTTTACACATTGTATATTAATGTTTGTCTATTTTTTTCCCGTCTCTATTCACATAATTATTTTAAGGGAACAATCGAAAGTATCTTATCCGGTGCTGTTGTTGGTATATTATATGCACTTTTTTCTGGACAACCGTTAACAATTATGGGTAGTACTGGTCCTGTACTAGTATTTGAAAGTATTATATTCAAATTATGCACGTGAGTATTTGCTGAGACTTTTGATTAATTACTTATTTTTCTGTCTCTTTCATCCCGTCTACCTTTAATATATATGTAGACGATTGCTCAAATTTGACAGTCTGTAAAGTGATTTCGCTAGTTGATTACTCGATAACCATCATCATTACCGTTGCTGACCCAGATGTGTTTATGTTTATGTCTACAGAAGTGCCTCAATTGAAATAAGCAAAACTCTCAACTAAATAAAAAGACAAAGTTAGAAGAAACATAATTAGATGGAAACTTTGAACTTTGAAGATAATAAGAAAGGGATACATCTACAATACTCTCATCTATTTTGACTGATATATCCAAACACTGATTCTTTACATATCAGGAAACTTAACTAGGCCAACTACACTCCCATATACACGACTCTTAGGCCAGTTGTGAAAGAATTCATAAATTGGTTTCATGGCCATGTCTAACTTTCTGGTAACACAATCTTACCTTAGCTAACAGGTGTTCTCCATTTCTAAGTCTGGTCAGTCTCAGTAGATATTCACTACCTTACTAATTGAATTACCTTCCTTGCAAAGCACTACATGTCTAATACTATCATTATGGTTTTATTGCATACGAGCAACACTATAGAGATATACATATGGATAAAAAGTCAGCACAGTTAGGCTATTGAACAACTTTGATGGTCATATCTCACAGGTGTGTGGTGGAACTAAGCAAATTGCTATGCGGTACATTCACTTTTCCATAGGTGGTCGTATATTCTACCAGCTATAGAAATAATGTGGATTGGTAGATGCTAAGATAAATCTTTACTTATCTCTTCTAACATTTCCACGTATACTTTCGTGCAGTAGACGATTAACCATCTAATAATACTGCCTGGCCACCAAACCAATGAACTACAGCTCCACTTCATCCATCTTATTAAAGTTTATGGAGTTTTTAAAAAATATTGCTGAGAGTATTCCTTTCACATCACTTTAATGGTCACCCTAGCAATAACTGAAATAACCAGTTTGATTTCTTTATTTCAACTAAGATGACAGTTATTTCTTAAAATACAGAACTAATTGGTTACTCCAGTAGTTTACCATTTTGACTATCTGAGATAGTAGCCGTGATTTGGCAGACTATTATTTATACTGGGTGGTGATTGAGGATGAAACGAAAGCTCGGACTGTGTCCGGATTCGAACCAGTGACACTGGGTTTCCGGCCCGATACTCTATTAACTGAGCTACGAAATCCGACTGCTGACCAGATTTTTATTTCACTTCAATCACCAAGGGTTTTTGCTGACTAACATATGAATTCGTATAAATACTGGTCTGCCGAATCATGGCTATCTCAGAATGATAATCAATATAACGCTCCCCCTTTCTGATTCAGTTAGATTTGGATTGGGATGGGAAGTCCTGACTAGGCAGCCAATGTGAATATGATCAAGCGGTAAAAACGCATCACGAATTTACATGGTAGTTGCTCAAAACCCTTGATGATTGAAGTGAAATAAAAATCTGGTCAGTAGTTAGAATTCGTAGCTGATTTGGTAGAGCATCGGGCCAGAAACCCATTGGTCGCTGGCTCGAACCCCTCCATGATCCAAACTTACATTTCGCCTTCAATCATCATCCAGTATAAAAACTTCAGTAGTTGTTAGAACGTCGTTTAAGAGTCCTTCAGTTAAGTATTTTAGTGCGGACCGATCCTAAGACATCGGTTTATTGACTCAGTTGGATCACACACGACCAAAAGTACCCCATAAATCTTCTGTTATAAAATACTATTTATATCTTGGCTGTAAACTAGAACTAGTAATCATATTGGTTACCTTTTTAATTAATAGGCGTTGGCACTAGTAACCGTTCAATTTGACAATTTTTAAACAAACCTTTTGTGTAATATATGTACGGTAATATCAAATTTAGTTAGATAATGTTTTACTAGGACATCCGCAATATACCCCGATCAAGCTAAAACATAATGATAATGACAATTTCTCTTTAACCCCAAATTGTATTAATTGTTATCCTTTGTGTTAGTTACTACAGTATTCACTATATCAAGTTGAACAAATCCACTTGTTTGTATGTGGGTATGTATGCATGTTTGTGTGTGTGCTTGTTTGTTTTGACTTCAGATGATATCATTTCTCCGTAATTCTAAATTGTGTTTATACTTAATCTATTCAATTATTATTTATTGAGGTTTCGATTACTTCACTTTCGGTTAAGAACAGAATAGGGCCGCATACGTTAATATTCTATATAACATGTGTACTACTGTACGGAGTGTGTGTGTGTGTGTGACACGATCTCTATCCTAAAGCGTTAGTTACAACAAATGCCTGTATCTAATTTGTTGAACTTCATGAACACAGGAAACGGATGGTGGGTAGAGAGAGAGAAACTTTTTTCTCTCATTTTGTTTTGATCCATTTTGATGTTCGCCTCATGTATCTCTTCATGTTCCCGACTAGTGCCGACTGGTAAATTCTACTTGGAAGCTAAACAGTTTCAAAGCACATTTACCTTAATTAAATATTTTGTCTTTTCATATTCAATAAGATACAGGACACTTCCTGTAAGCCCGCCGACTCTGCCACTTGTTGGTACCTATTTACTGTATATGTGTAAATGAATTGTCTTAAATTACTTGTAATGAGTAGTAGATAAGGTTATTCACATCCAGGCCATAGTTAACTGCCGAGTCTGAAGCTGTTAAACTTCCAGAAAAATCCTCTTTTGATCTTCTAAGCACACACCGGGATTATATTAAAGCTTACTTAAGTAAATAAGCAGTATATGAATTTCAAATATACATCCATTTGTCCATGATAAGTCAGTAATAAATGACTGACGAAGTCTTCCTCGTAGTCGTAAGATAATCCACTACACAGTGAAGCGAAGTGACTCAACTTCACCTCCTCCTTCAATCTCAGTTCAAGACGAGAATAATTTCATCAGGTGTATAGCTAATGTGTAAAATTCTAATTGCAGGTTTGTCTTCGGAAGATAAGAGAAACAGAAGAGTATTGTAAGCACAAAATGTGAACTTGGTGACATCGATACTGCTGACAGAGATGGTGTTATTTCTTACCTGAAGTGATCTTTGAGTGCTTAGATTATTTCAAAATATGAGTTAGTCAACACTACTGACTGATGCGATTGGTTTCTTGCTTCTTGTTACTTTCAGTGGTATGTGTCACAAAGTTGTTAGATGTACTTGCCTAACTGTCAGTATGTGAATGCATTGATCAAAAATCTCAGGTGCGGGAATGTTATGACTCGTATAACATCATATGTTAATCAGGTTTGCTGTGGTTTAACTGCTTAGCGTTTAAACTTAAGAATTAAGTGGACGGAAGTTGCATGTCTGTTCGGTGCAAACATTGTAGAATCACTATGGCGGCCATAAGTCAGCGATTGCGGTATTTGACCTGCAAACATTCGTTTAGGTTCAGACTCACGCTGCTTACATCAATCTATCAGTCAGACAGTATTACGCCAGCTGACAGCCGATACAGCCCACAAATTACACAATGGTCACTGGTCATAAGACCACTAAGTCAGCATCACAAGGTTCGAATGTAGCGTTTTTGATAGTGATCTGCTTCTACTCTCAGATGGTTAGGATACGCCTTCCTCATACGCATTTACTACCTGCCTTTACATATGTTTTTAGTCCCTAATCCATAAAACTTTCTGCATACTTCATCTAACACGAGTAATTTAGTAGTGACTAGTAATTGAGCTTCCTGTTTTTGTTTCCTATTAGAAGGACTATATACTTCATCCTGAGGCTATAAGTAGTACTTTTCCCAGACGATTTGTCAGTCCCAAAGTTGTAAATTTAAAGAATTACCAAACTTCACCCATCAAAAACTCCTGCTCTTCACCGTATTCAACTTCATCGTTATCATAATCTTCTCAGATTGGAAGAGAATTGCCCAGTTGATTTAAATGTTATATCCAGTGTATGAACCGATAGTGAACAACTAAAGTGTAAGCAAAGACTAACAGAAATGCTCCCTTTATCACTGACATATGTCTTAAAAACAGATCACTAAGAAGTATACTTCGTAAGTGATATTGCTAACGACCTTCTCGAACTGACTATATTGTCTGTGAATAATATATTCTTTACTTCTCTTTATTTCTTTGTCTGCTATCTCTTAGCAGATGACCCAGAGATATGGACATTAAAAGTGGAAGGTATTAAGGGGTTACAGGTTTCTCACCATATGTATCTTTACAGTATTGGTCACATGTGTTACAATCACTATGTGTGTAATGTTGTGGCCAAGCGTAGATTACTAGGCAGATAAATCGATCCAATTGATGGTGCTTCATAACTTCATTGGCTGAGGGAACTAGGTATGTGTTACAAATGCTTGAGTCACTGCCCGCTTTAACGTCCTGTGCTAATTGAAGTAGCAGTGGCTTGGATGAATACTGAGGGTTGCACCAGTTCATCAGCTCTCTGACTGTTTCTGTCAGCTGTGTAGGGGGATGTTGGTGGTCTGAATTCGGTCTTCACGACAATATGAATCAATGTGTTGGGGAGCCTTGGTGACATGACCTAAAACCGATCATATTGCGTATATATATCTTCTTTGTCATCTTTAAAGACGTGGTAATATAGATGTCAACTTGGCAGTTATGCCTCAGTGCCAGATTTCACGTTGACGTTGCCTCCCCCGACTCATACGACAGTTTTGACTCATTAGCCTAATGGATATAACCCTCGGATGTTTGAAGCGATGACTTCGGGTTCGAGTCTCAGGGCGAACATTGTAACTCAGTGAGATACAGGTTCTCCCCACTGATAAGACCCCAAATAGGATCTTAAAACACGCGTTCTGGATTATCCAACTAGCTGCCAACACAAATAGCTTAATATCAAGTAGTTATCTGCCATAGTGTGAGGGGAGAAAAAAGAAGATAAATCGACTAACTAACCAACTAACTCTCTGTATGACTGACAATGAATCATCATCATTATATATTATAA